AGAAGGCTACCAGGTTGGTCAAGCATGAATTCTCCTTGGTAAATGCCCCCCGTGGGTTGTTTCCGGATAGGTACTTTCTTATACAGTAGAGTGGCAGGTGATGTTTGATTGTAAAAGCAAAACATTCCAGTATCATACTGAAATTCAAAAAGGCAGCACAGATTTGTCTTACACACCTCTATGACTGGGTGGCGTAAGAATAAAGAAATGACAACACACCTTTCCACCTTATCATACAGGCAAGATGATTTTACAGGTAAAGTAACCCCTATTTTTTTGCATCTTAAAGGAGGAAGGTTTGTGCAATGGTTCATGTACTTCTAAAAGTAAGAGCTCTTTAATGATACAAGATGATACACGTCAGGAGTTTGCTATAAGGTGTTCTTATTATCTTTATCAAACCTCTTTTTTTCTTCTTCTTTTTCCTCCCTTTTTTTCTTTTTCTTTTTTTTTTTAACAAAGAAGAAATCGGGAACCAATCTATTTAGTTTCACAGCTGTGAATACTCTACTAAAGCGTACATGAAATAAACTATTTGCAATAGTCCTTGTTGAGAAACCATCCTTTTTCTTAAGGTTGGACAGCTAGGGTTGACAGATAATGAATATTCTTCTAAACACATTACTGTAACTCAGAAGACAGACTCTTAGCCTTAATAATAGCAACAATGATAATAAACAATAGTGTTGTTAGTAATAGAATATATTTCTAAATGTCAGTAATGGTATTTTTAAACAAAAAAAGGCTAGCAATGTACTGTAAATGTGTGCTATGAGGAACATTAATGTGTATCTGCCAGACAATCTCAAAGAAGGATTTCATTGTTGAATTATGAAATCATTGTGTTTGATATTATCATACAAATACACTCCAGATCCGATGCAGATCACATTCAAAAAGGATTCCAAGCAGCCCCAGGGTCATCATTAACCCTCTGCTAAGCATAGTTTATAATTATTAAATAAATCTATAGATTTTAACTCCTTCTGGAACAGTTTCTATAGTGTAATTCTTCACTCACTGTGATGAAAGCATGGTTAAGGCAGAACAGGAAACATTGTTTTCTATCTTTCTCTAGACCACATAGATAGGTACATAAGGAGACACCCACATACCATTTTCAAATGGCTGAGCATGAAGGTCCCTTCCAATCCAAACCATTTTGTGATTCTATTTGCAGATTGTTCCTTTCAGACACATCTGTTCCGCACCTGTATTCTTAATATTTGTTTCTGTAGATCATCTCCCGATGTTTAAAATACTTGTTTTCTCACGGAAACTTCCACTTTGACACATGAAAATGTACGAACAGCCCTCCTACCTTTAGCAGATAAGCTTGGCAGTCACTGACATAATCATACTCCAATCCATCGAAGGTATAATAGTGTCGATCTCCATAAATAGTGCATACAGCAGGACAGGGGTAACTAGTGCAACTGAATATCCCTCTCCGACAAACACTGTAAGGAAAATTAGCAATCAGTATCTTCTTATGGCAGGGTCACTTTCTTTTTATTGTCAAGAAGAATCTTTCTTGGGTTCTTCACTCCAAGTCATACAGAAATTCAAGAAAGGAAGAAAATTCTTGGACCTTGAAACACAGAGCTATCCTGTGGATTGTTTCTGAAGTTACTAGTGATGCCGTGGCAGAAAAGTGTTGGGCATTTTGCCATCAGCACATATGTCCAATAAAAATGCACAAGAAATGAATGCAAAATCTTAACATTTTCATGGCTTATGTAAATATTTCCACCACTGCTTCCAGTCTAGATAAGACACCATGCCACAACATGTTCATTCATAAAACACCAATATTATTTTTTCTCAATAAATTTTGATTAAAATTTCCACATATTCAATGCAAAAGACCTCCAGTCACTACCTGTAAGATATTTAGGGCATCAGACAAGTACTGAATGAACTTAAGAAATAAATGCTGATATTTTGCAGGATTGCTTTTGCTGTCAGCTCCATTCAGTCACTTCCATGAATTTGCATAAAGGTAGAACTGACAGTATCTAGTTTTGATTTTGTAAGTGTATAAGCTCAGTTGATTTGCCAATGAAGTTTTTACCTGATTAAAAGCAGCCCTGCCAAACGTTTTTAATTAAATATATACTTAGCTGAAGACAGATATTTTGGTCAGCAAATTATAATTATAATTTATCTTTTTTTTCCTCCTTGGTTGTCTTTATGATACTTTATTTAGCACTCGCCCAAAAATCTGCTTATTCTTCCAAGTGTATTAGTGCACCTAATACAATAGATATCCTGTAGCTGTCTATGAAAAAGCATATACATTTTTGATTTTCAATGTACTCAAAATGTTTCCTGTATCAGTTTCACTTTGTGGATAGACTCAGATGGTATGGAGGTATGCAAAATGCTTGTACTCACCAGGTGTAACACGGTGTAGCTATTACTTCTCCTGACAGAAATTCCCTGTCTTTCCAGGTACATGGACAGCTGTCAGGAATATAACATTTCCCTCTATGCTCAGCCATCCTTCAAAATAAAAGAATTATTAAGATGGAAATGTAAATTGACAAGTAGATCAACGTAACTAAATGCGTAGCATATTGTCTAAATCCCTCCAAGGGCAACTGGTCTGCCATCCAGCCAAGGACAACTGTTTCGGCAGTAAAAGCTGTCCAAATGAAATGATCTCCACTGTGCACAGCTGGAGACCTCACAAAGCTCACAGCTGGGGCTCTCCTTCTACCCTGAAAGGGGTATTTTGGTATGGGGCAGCAGCTCCTGCAAGAGCAAGTGTAGGTACTCTTCCCTGCAAACTGCAGAACATCTGCGCGTTAACGCACGCTGCTGAGCCTGCGGACTGACTGCCCTTCCCTCTCTGCTTCTCCATCGTCCTCCCATCCCAGGGAAGCAGCCAGACTGATGTGCCTGCTCCTCTGCACAGAGCAGCAACTGTCCTGTTCTGAGCACTGGTCAGTGAGCTGGGGGATGGCAGCTGTTGCAGGGTTAGGAGGGCAAAAGAAACACAGCCTGTGAAGGGCAGTGGAGGAGGCTACCTGCCTGCCCTGGGGAAGCGGAAACAACTCAAGGTTAAGACAAAGTAGCTGCATTTAATGCAAACACTGGCAAATTTGCTTAGATCACAAATAAGTGACAGAGATGTGGTCAACCACTTTTTGCTGTCTCCTCATTTCTATTTGCTTAGCAACATTAACTTTTTTAAAACAAGATGTTACTGACACTCCCAATGCTGCTTTTTTGGGGAGCAATTCCTGCAGTTGTGATTGCAACACATGGCTGAGAGTAGAGAGATGTGTTTTCAAAGTATGATCTTGAGATAGCTTCCCTTGAAGTTCAAAAGAACACACAGATTAGAGTTTTCTTCTACCCATAATTACTGTTCATTAAAGATTAATTGGTTTTAAGTAAAAGAGTCAAGCGTTCAGAAAGATTAATAAAGACAGTAACGCAAAAGAACAGGTGGCTTGGGAAGGTCATTTAGAATCTCTGCCACTGGAAGTTAAATATCTGCAAAAAATACCATAGGTATTGGTCATGCTACCTAAGGGCAGGAGAATAGTTTAGCCCCACAAGGGCCTTTTCCATACTACTCTTCTGTAGTTCCATAATTCAACTTATCCTCTTAGATACCCAGCTCAGTGTTAGGGTGACTTGCAGTGTATATTTGAGTGATGAACTTACTGTCGTTCTCTGCTAATTTCCTCATGAAATTTTGAACTATTCTTCTTAATTTTTATAGCATTACAGAGACTTTCAGTGTTTCTTATTCTTTGCCACCTCTCTAACTACCAACTACAAGAACCACAAGCTCTCATGCAAGAATTTTCACAACAGAAAGTGTAAAACATTTTTAATTCAAGAAGATCCTTTTTTGCATACTAGAGTCCATTCTGTCATGAGTTTCCAAAGGAAAGGTTCTTCAATACCATGTACAAGCTGCTTTACTTTGTAAGCACCATAAACACCCGGGATGCTAGAATAAGGTACCAGTCTCCAGTAAGATTCCAACCCAAAAGGTAAAGTCATTGGGTCAAACAATGGGTAGTAATAGAAATAAGATGGAAAGGAGAAACAATGAGAAGAGTATCTTAAGATAATTAAAAAAAAAAAAGGTGTAACAGTCAAAATTCTTAGGAAGAGGCTTTTGTGAATTGACCATATAGGTTTAATATCATGAAGTATATGCTTAACATTTTCTTGTATAAAAGGAGAACTTCTGAACCCAATTTTTAAGACAACCTTGCTGGCCCTTTCCTAACTAAAAGCCATACTCACTTCTTGGGACTGCAAGCCTGAAAGGCATAATGGCTCCAGAAATACAATTTAACACCAATGATGGTACTAACTGTACTAAATGTTACTCATTTACTTTTCTACCTAATAGCAAAACAAGTGTTTATTCTCTTACTTAACAAACTAATTCATGTGTTTTACTCCATTATTTGACAGAAACTTGGAATTTGGCTTGTCTGTACGCCTTTTATAGTTTATCATTCAGAAAATAATCAAGTAACATTCAATTTGAAATGGTATAATACTGCTTGACTGTGAGAACAGGGCTTCAGCTCTGTTTTTTAAATTATATTTTAATTTTTTCAAATTTTGAAATTAATTTTTGTGACAATGCTGCTAGTTTAAGTTCATGCAAATATCATGGTGATGTTTCAGCAGAAATTTACCTGGTTTTATATGATGCCTTGTACAGATTCATGCATTTTTGTGTTAAAAATAATGATTTATTCCTATAACACTAGTGGGTGGTCTTGAAAGCTAACTCCTCAGCTGAGGCAGAGGTTGTAGAGGACTGCAGAATACCAGGCAAGATCAAGGAGTGAAATCTTAAATAGCTATGCCTGAAATCTGTCCTTCGCCAGTGCTTAGACATCTATGAACATCAGAAGCTGCTGGAAGGTGAATTCTGGCAGCCTCATTACACTCTGATCTAGGCACAACTGATATACTGTCAGGGAACTATTGTCTACACATACAATGAAATAAAATCAAATGCTGAGAAAAAAAGGGGGGGCACTCCACCTGAGGTCAAATTGCAGCAATTTGTGCAGCATCTTTGACTCTTCAAATCTGAAAGTGCACACAGCAGGTATCAGGGGAGGGAATGGAAAGAGATGGAAGGAGTTGATCCTGGCAAAAACTTCACAACAAATGGTTTTAGCTTTTGTACTTTGATTTGAATTCTGCAAAGCTCAGCAAACAGTCAAATCCAAATACATGATCTGAGAAAACAAAATCTTTGGATGAGTTCAGAAGGGCAGAGAGAATAAAGGGGAAGAGGGCAGGATTCAGCCCACACCATCCGTCTCCCTGCCCCAGGCTGGGGATCAATACTGTAAGCCTAAGTAGAAGTCTAGGTGAAGCAATTACTTGGGCAGTAAGTAGAACACAGATGGTTTACATTATGATTTTTTGTCATGTTTGCTTCTACACTCAAATAAACTATGCTATGCAAGTGGTGGGAGTCATCTCATGTCCAGAGAGTCTCAAATACTAGCCAATTGGACTGGTAGCAAGCTGGGTATCTCACAGGGTAGTGGAATCATGGTCTCAGGATGGAGAAACTGTGGAACTCCAACTAAGGAATCATTCTAGCATGGAACCTCACACCAGCAGGAAGAAGAAAAGGGCTTTCAGACACAACAGAAAGAGTTGGCCTTTAGCTGTGACTGTGTATCTGCAAAAAATTATAGAACAATAGCTTCAAAATTAGAGGTGCAATACCACTGGAATTTAAAAAGCAAAACAAAAATCTACAGAGTTAAACTGTGAAAAATATGTATATAGCTTGTGCTCCAGGTTGTTCTGCCAAAGCTTACCCAGGGGGGCAAATGCAGCCGCTTGCACAGGGTGGTGAGGGGACACAGGAGAAGTTCATGGCAAGGTTCGCACAAGAGATCCCACAGTTCACACCCGCTGCTGGTAATCCAGGCACGGGAGATCTGCAGTCATAGTAGATTTTTCCTTCAGGGCATATGTGAACTGCAAAATGCAGGTTAAATGAGATCAACTGCTCTTTTACACTGATGGTTTTCTATTTGGTTTTGTTCACTATTTATTTTCATGGACTGTTGTGCTACATTACAGTACACATAAGAATACAATCTGAATGAAAGTCTATAACTTCATTTGTATTACACAGACACAAAAGCAACATATGTTTTAATGTAAAAAAAAAAAAGACCAGAACTTAATATTAAGCACCTGGAGCTATGCACCCCGGATCTGACAAAGAGCCCATTCTTAAAGATGGAGTAATTATGCCTTAGTTAGAATCTTTAGAAGTGGCATAATTTTCAGTGTACTGAAATACCGTCTAAATCGATTAGAAATTCATTAAAATTTATTTTCTCAAAATGAAGATCTTAAGGCTTTGTAAACATGGCTAGTGAACCTGATTTTGAGTATTCCCGTGAGAACATATTGACCTACACCTCACATGTAATTATTTATATTTTTAATTTCCCAAGCAACTTAGTAGTACAATTTGTGCTACAGAAAAAGGAAAAAGAAAAAAACTAGACAACTTATGCTCCTAAACTCCTATTTTAAGTATGTCATGACATTAAGTATCTCGCAATGAAAATACATATGAGGAAAAAAAACCCCTGCTATTCAATGTCAAAAACTTTCTCTGTGCAACCGTAATATGAGGCAAGACAGTAAATTACCTGTATTTTCTGTAGCGTCTTCCGTACATTTCACTGTTCCATTCAAACACTGACTGGAAAAGAAAAGCAAATCCATCTTTATTCAAGAGGAAAACATTTTGTAGCCACCGTGTTAAAAAAGATAATACAACTCAACCCAATTTAAATAACATAAACCAGGAGGAAGAGGATTAAAATCTGAAAGCAATGACTTCTGACTGAGATTTTGTTGGTGCTTTCTAACTCCTGATCTGTAATGAGGGCCCAGACTCACAAAGGTGTTTATGTACTATTTAATTGCCTAACATAGGGCCAGGTGATTCAGGATGCTGGCAGTGTACCACAAAACCTTATCTGCCTTGGTGAATATGGAAGGATTCAGTAAGTAAATTTCCTGTTGCACAGATGTTAGGATACAGAGCTTGATTCTTTTTATGATAAAATACAGAACTGCAGAAAAACACATGCGAAAATAAGCCTGGCCCTCATTTTTAACTTTTTCTTTAAAAAAATTGTGGAAAAAACCCAAATCATTGCAGAGGCATAGCAATGGCAGAAAAACAAAGCATCTGCTCTCACTTTCTGAACTACATGATTACCGATCTTCAGTTATAACACCTATGATATAAGACCTCAGCAGG